CAGACTTGGAATCAGACAAAATGGACTCAAATTCAAATTATGCTACTCTCCTCTCTGTTGACCTTGGGAATATTTCTTAATGTGGCTAAACCTCAGCTTCTTGTAAAATCTGTACCCGCCATAATGTCACTGTAAGGTTTAAATGAAGTAAGAGCTGCAGCAGATACTAATTATTATATGTAAAATAAACAAACAACAAGGTCCCACTGCACAGCACAGGGAACTATATGCAATATCTTGCAGTACCCTATAATGAAAAAGAACATGAAAAAGAAAAAAAAGAAAAAAAAAAAGAAAAAAAAAAAGAACATGAAAAGGAATATATATGCATATGCATGACTGAAACATGACGCTGTGCACCAGAAACTGACACAACATTGCAAGCTGACTGTACATCGATTAAAAAAAAGTAAGATAAGGGGCGTAAACCCCAGTATCTGATGCTTTGTGGTGCTTATTAGTCAACGTCTGCTCCACGTGCCCTCCTGTTCCTCAGCCACGGGCACCCTGCCTGTCTCCTTCCTCCTCTAATCCTGTCCCCTGAGCCAGGACGGCAGGACCCACACTGCTGCTGAGCCCTCCTGCCACTGATCACACACCTGGACTCCATCCGCCCCACCCGGGAGGGAAGGACGTGCAGGGCAGTTGGGATGGTTTTTCTTGTCTCTCCTCCCATCTGTTCCCCCTGCGACTTCCTTCCCTTTGACGAGCCCCTGGTTGTTGACCTCCAGGGACTGATGAGAGCCATGTGTCACTAAGAAAAGGTCAGGGGTTACAGCAATGGGTAGCTTACTCTTCTGTCGCCTTAACTTAGTTTTTAACGTGCTGGATGTCTGACATAAAGAAGTCAGCAAGGTACTGGCAATTTCTCTTTAAAGCTGTAGCCCCCTGTTTTGTAGGAAGTTCTGTCAGCCCCTCCTCCACACTCACCCCGCCCTCACCCCCACCTCCTGGGTCTTTCAAAGCCAGCATCATCTCTGAGAGAAAAAAATTTAGAAACGGTTCCCTTCTATTAGTGACAGTTTGTGTCACCTTCATTCAGGATGTGTATAATCAAATACTCTATTAGGGTGGAGAGCTGGAGGGGCTACCAATACAACTGTGAAACAGGTATGTTTTTCTAAAACTAACAAGTGTTATTCCAGTTTTGTTGAACAGGAGATAGACGATTACAGTGAATCTCCTCGTCTTTGCCAGGCATCCTCTGTTGGAAAAACCCGGGCAAGTAACACACAGCCCTGCCCTCTCAGAACTTCCAGTGAGCTCCCTGCACCCTGGCCTTCTCAGCCGCAGACTCTTCTGTGTTCATCAGTCCCGCCTCCATTTTCCAAGACAACAGAAATGACCAGATGCCCTTGCTTCTGATCTAAGCAATCAGTCCCCCTCGTCCAGCAGGACCCTCGCTCCACCGCCCACTTCTACACACGCCTGTCACCAAGGCAGTTGACTAAGGGGAGAAATCCACACAAATGTGAGAAAAAAGCTACCTTCCCACTCCAGTGCCCACAACTATCCTGAAATTACCTACATGTGAAGTCATGTCAAACCCAAATGTGCTCTCTTCAAAAACACAAGGAGGCCCAATGGCAGGTCCCTAAGAGAATTTCTGTGCCGCCACGCTCAAGCAGCAGCTACGTATGACTACAAACAAGAGGACCGCTTACTCACGCCGACACTGCATACGTGGACACGCGCACACACGAGCATGCATGTCTCTGCTCTGCCTGTGTCTGAAAAGGGTCTGGGATGGGTAAGGAGGTCCTTGTCCTCAACAAGTGGGGTAAGCCCATCACCTTCTGCTCTTGGGTGAGTCTCTAAGAAACACAGCAGAGAAGCTGCATGGACCACACGGCCTTTCCACTGCAACTGCTGACAGAGCTCACACAGAAACACAGAATGCAAACAATGACAGTGTTCAAATTTTACATATAAACACTCATTTTTCAAACAAAACCAGAGCAAGGAGAACATTTGTTTCCCCAAACCCCAAACCTCATCTCTAAACTTCAATGAACTTTCAACCAAATACTCTTAAAGCTGCAGTCACACAGGGAGGATGATGCCAGGCCGGTCTCTGTCTTTTTAAACAAACCCTGAGGGCCCAGGAGAGTCTAAGACAAAGCATCCCGCTAACCCGAGGGACCCCCGGTGGGACCCCCGGTGCGCACGCGGTTCACTCAGAGACACGGCCAGGGCTCCCGCAGCGGTGGCACGCTGAGTGCTTAAACGCAGAGGCGGGGAGGCTCGGAATGAGAACCTTCAGGAACTGCCGAAGTGTCGGCCCAAACCCAGCACAATCTTCAGTTTATGGGCTGAAACCGCCCTCAGAACGCAGTGCTGGGAGCTGGCAGTGAAATCCAGGCCCGCAGAGCACTGTCCCTGCCCCACAGTCCTGGGCTCAAGGGCCCCCAGAGGGAGCGAGACCCATTCTCTACGGCGACCAGCTCTACATGCACAGATGTGGCCATAAGGATATGAAAATCACCTTCCAACACAAATAAACAAAATAGAAGAGAGTCTCTGTGTGTGTGAGGAATATTTTCCAGCAATTCCTGTTAGAAAGGACACCCTGAGAAAAGAGATTTCTGGATCTTTCGCAGTGCAAAAGATCTTAACTAGAGGCCAAAGAATAAGGTATTCAAGAGGAATTAGAGCAACTATCCCAGACCTAACCATGCATTGAGAACCCTCTGTGAAGCTTTTTAAAACTCCCACCGGCCAGTGCACACACCAGGCCACCTACCTCAGAATCTCGGCAGGTGGGGGCAGCGCACAGTCAAGGCTGGGAACCACTGAGTCAGAGCCTTCTGAAGACACCGTCCAGGTCAGAGAGCCTACCTGAACATGACTGTGGGTCCTGGATACGCCGGGACCTTGGTCCAAACCTCACACCCAGCTATGACTGCATACGTACAAGCCACTCACCCCCAACCTGGGAGGGGCTCGGGGCCACGCACACACAGGCACCCCCCCCACCAATCCTTAAAATGCAGCAGAGGTCACCCACCCAGAGGGCCTGCCCAGATGAGCAGGGTCAAGGAGACCCTCAGTCTGCATTTGCAGGGGGGCACTTCCCTGGCAGCAATGGGAGGGGCTCTGGAGACAGGCTGTGACACGAGCTGACACCTGGGCCCAGCTGAGCCACTGGGGGTGGCACAATTGTCAGAACACCACAAAGTCTCCCATGCCCACTCTCTGAGGAAGAATGCAAACCCTGTGGGCAAAACACACACGGGGTGAAAGATGGTACACTTCCTAGGTGCTGCTCCTCTCCTGATAAGACGGAAAATTCACTTCATCTGAACAAAGAAAGGTCCACAATGTTTATGACTGACACCCTCCAAGTTTCCCCCAATTTAAATCTGACTCAGACAGTTTTGCTTGGTTTTATTCAAAATCAAAATTTTGGCAGAAACAGGTAGAGTGGAGATATACACAAAACTCCAGCAGAAATCAATTTATATTTATTCAAAACATTTAAAGGCAAAATTTGAACCAAAAATTTAAATAAAAGAAAAATCAAACATATTGCATACATCTTAAAAGATACTTCAAATAACAGAACATTTTAAAGCATAAATTTAGAAAGGCAGGGAAAAAACACATATATCCAAAATATAATACCTTTCTACAAAATGTGGAATATTCATAAAGGGCACTTTTGTCCAAAAAAGAAAGAAAAAAGAAAAACCAACCACTGAGTATGATGCGTAAAACATGAACTCTGAAGACCCGCGGCTGGGTTTGAGCCCACGGACAGTGCCCTAACCTTGTCTCTGAGCCTCTCTGAGCCTCAGAGGTTCTGCAGTCAGACTGCAGGCCTCAAATTCAAGTCTGCACGTGAGCGCCGAGCTCCTTTCACTTCCCTGTACCTCCTTCCTCAGTGACACTGAAACAAGAATAGGACCTACCTCCAGTCTGGAGAAACTGGAACCCTGGTGCACAGCGGATGGGAACGTAAAATGAAGCAGGTGCTGTAGAAAACTGTCTGGCGGCTCCTAAAAGTATTAAACAGAGTTACCATGAGATCCAGCAGTTCCACTCTGAGAATAAACCTCAAAGAATTGAGAGTAAACCCTAGAAGAGAGATTTGCACACTCATGTTCACGGCAACATATTCACAACAGCCAAAAGGTGGAGGCCACCCAAGTGTCCATCAAAATAACAACAAATAAAATGTGGAACAACCAGACAATGAAATCTGAGTCAGGCTTAAAAAACAAGGAAATTCTGTCACACGACACAACGTAGATGAACCTTGAAGGTACTTTGTCAGATGAAATACGCCAGTTATGAAAAGAAATTCTGTGTGCTTTCATGTACGTGAGGTACTCAGACCCAGAGACAGAGAGCGAGGTGGGCACCAGGGGCTGGGGGTAGGGGGTGCGGCGTGTTTTCTGGGGACAGAGTTTCAGTCTGGGAAGACGGGCGGTGGTGATGGCTTCCACAACAATGTGAACGTACTTAATGCCACTGAGCTGCACGATTAAAAATGGTTTAGTCAGCAACTTTTACGTCTTGTGCATTTTATCACAATAAAAAAATGAAAATAAGGAAGAATAGCCCCTGTCTCCTAGAGTTGCTGTCGGACTGAATACATGCGAAGTGTTCAGAGCGCCCGGCACAGAGAACACCCTCCACGTGCACGCCAGCCACTGTCTTAGCTGCCTGCCTCTGGCCCTCCCTCCGGGCCCCACTACCATGCTCTGCAGAAACAGATGCTCACTGACTAGATGCTGGTCCTTTCAGAGTTGTATACCTCCTGCAGTGAGACGGTTCCAGCCTTGGGCTTCCTTCTAGCATCAACGTTCTTTTATTGGGACAAAACTTCCACTGCAATTCACTGCAACTGGATGCAGATGAAGAAACCAGCTAATTTCTGCAGTCTTCACACACAAACTGAGACCACGTTAAAAAAAAAAACTAATTATATTGCCTATGTTCTAAATGCTTTGGGTTTTGTGTATGTGTGTGTGTTTACAGAAGTACAGTTGATTTACAATCATAAATGGTTTGTTAGTAAATCTGCCTCAAAAACAGGTTCCTAGGGTAATGCTGTTCCATCGGCCTGATGGTGGGGAGACAGGAAAGTTCCCCACTGTCCACAGTCTTTCACCTTTTAGCACAACCAAGACTATTTTACTTCTTTGCTTTGTCATTTAAAAATCCTCTTTTTATGAAAATTTCTAAGCATACACAAAAGTAGAGATTCAATTAGCCCCCATGTCCCCAGCTTAATAACCAGCTTTAACCTGTGACTCTTACCTAAGACCCAACCTCTTCCCCGCAAAACACTGGAATAGAAACACGCAGCCACGTTGAAGCAATCTTGCTTCTCACAACCGTCACCATCGTCACCACTACTTTTCTTTTCTTTCGGAAGTTCTTTTTGGGTATCTTCTCACCTGCTTTCCTTTTTCCCTCTGAAACTACGAATAATTTCAGTATCTACCATGCCAAGGTCATCATGAGGATGTAATACACACAAAAGTGCATAGCTTGGTGTCTGACATGTATTAAGATCCTGAGAAATTTTAGTTCTCCATGGACCACCACCCCGCCCTTCTTTCCAGGACAACAGATGCCCCCCAACCCCCCCCAAACATATACACATCCTTCTCCAGTCTTTGTGCCTTACTCCTCCCTTCCCTTCCTAAACACTGGTCCCTGCTTCCTCCCTGGCCCCTCTGCCTCCCTCTAAGCCAGGGATCCCAAACACAAACGCCTCACTCATCACAAATCCAAATCACCGAGAAGACCCCAAATATAATACAGAGAAATACAGAAAGTGGACAAATCGAACTGATGAATACATTTAACGTTTAGGGTACCAGCCACTAAAGCAGAAATAAAACACATACCCAATCTAGTGCCTATGTATAATTTAACAGGAAGATCAGACTAGACACTACATTGTAAAATAGCACTAACAGGAATTCCCATGCAGGTCACGTCTCTGTGTGCACGCATTTATATTTTAAACATTAAACCGTTTTCTGATGATCCAAGAAGTTTTCTATGCTGATGAGATTCATTTCCTTGCAGGACTTTTTGCCGGGGGCACACCTGCCACCTCCAATTTGTTTTAAAAGGAATTCTAATCAGCAGATCAATCACACTGTTGACCTTCAGCCTCAGTCACTCCACCGTGGCCAAAACTGGCTCTAAAAATTCATGTTCTAACAGTTCTGTTGTCCTCAGCTTCAAAACGCCGATGACAGAAATGTAATCTGACCAAACCCTCTGGCAGAAGAAAACACAGTACCTGAAGTTTCTAATTCGTCTTCTCCCAAGATTCTTTAAACAAAAGTGAATATCTATGATATTACTAAGTAATAACTCTTCCTCCACCGGGGTTTAAAGCCTTATAAATCATCCGAGTTCCGATGCAGTGAATCTGGTCTCTCCGTTACAAAAACCACATGGCTCGCTTTTGCTTTTAAATAACTCTTCTTCATGCAGAGATGTAGCATCCAGGTAATAACCCTGCAACTCTCCCACCTCCTTCCTAGGACACATCCACTCCTTCTTGCACTGGTGCCCAGCTCTCCCTCTGGAAAGGGCACCTGCTCTTGCTGCCTGCCCTCCTTGCCCCCACTCGCCCTCCTTCGTACCTGGCTGCTCCGGGCCTGGCACGCAGCAGGTGCTCAACGCAGGGTGCAGCCGGGATCAGCAGGGAAGCGTCAGAGCAGGCACACGCAGCGGAGGCGCTGACTCAGGGTGGGGGTGAGGACTGAGATTCTCTTAGACGCACTGTGTTGCCCGTGCTGCCGGGAGGTGTGGATGGACGTGCTTGGCGACGGCCTCCGCACTGATGTCACACTAGGGAGGAGCAGGTCAAGGAGGGAGGCTCCAGGGAGACAGACAGAGGCCCCACGAGGAAAGAATCCATCAGGGAGCGGGGAGCTCAGCTCCAAGCATCACAGAAGCTGAGAAAGAGCAGCATTTCAAGGAGAGTGAAAACACTGGTCAGGAGGTGAGATGCCACAGCTCAACTGAAGAGGATTCAAAACCGTAAATGAGGTGATGGGTAACGATCACTAAAAAGTTCTCGACCTTTGAGAAGCTGTTTCTGTGATGAATAAGACGCAACTTACAACTATCTGCAAGAATCGCAAGTAAAACGTAACAAACAGGACCGCGAAACCACTGCGGGAAGACCACCCCAAGGCCACGCGGAGAACGCAAGGATGAATCACGGGAGGAAGCCCGGTCCTCTGCCGGACCCCCGATCAGAGGACAAGCAGCCATGATCAGCCCCCAGCGGCTCTGAAGACGTCTGACAAAATTTACCATTCCTTCCTCATCAACACAAATTCTTGAAATAGGAACAGATCACTGTTGTCCTAATATGACCCTACATATCCACCAAACCTCCAGAAGCAGGACCTGAGGAACCACTACAAGCATTCCATGGAAGTCCAACTTATTAGTTTGGGATTAAGACTATTAAGTGACTGTTTCTGATTCGTTTTGCCTTTGCCCACGGAGACTGGTAAAAAGACTGGAATCCCAAGCACATAACACACACACAATTGCCATCTTAGCACCTGGCACTTAAAAGTGATTTTCTAGAGTTACTGTCTTTTAAAATGAGAGAAACGATCTTTCTCAGGGTGAGCGTGGAAGGTTAGCGATGGCTGGGAGCAGCGACTAAATCGGATGATTTCCGGTCCTTAACAAGACGTGTCTACGCTTCCCAAAGGAAGGCAACCATGCACTTAGTTAGGTCAGGGTCATTTTAAAAGAGGCGATTCCTGTTGGCACATAGATACCAGTATTACATACTACCCTGGACAAAGACTACATAAAAGAATTTTAAAATTCATCATCAAATTCACAGAGACGGTGGTTACAGGGGCCGGTCGGTGGGGAGGTGGGGAGCAGTGGTCAGTGAGCGAGTCTGGAAGATGGAGACGCTCTAGAGAAGGGATGGGGCGGTGGCAGCAATGCAATGATGTAATCGCACGAATGCCACCGAGCCTCACACTCTCAAGTGGTTAAAACGGGCAACTGTATTACATATATTTTAACACAATTTTTAAAACTCTCATGTTTAAAACATGACTCTGCATCATTTTACTTTTAATACAGTAGAAGATGCAACTACTGGTTCTTTTTATTTCTAATTTTAACACCTGACTAAGACAACACAGACAAGACGTCAGCAGTTTAAATCTGATGGCTCTAATACAGTCATTATTAAAGCTTGCCCTGATCATTCATTCTTCCTAATCCTACCTTCACTTAGAAAGTACTAAGATATTATTAAAGTTTAATCTGCTAATTCTTCTTCTTTTTAATCCTATTCTTCACTTGAAAAGCTTCTGGCCTCCAAAAGCAGATCCACGCAGGGCAGTCACAAGGCAGCCACCATGTCGGGACCCGCTGACGTGGGCAGCAGAGCACGGGAGCCTGCAGGCGGCTGGGATGCGGGGAAGCCCAGCCTTCACTCCCGGACGCTTCCTCCCGCAGACGAAAACCCAGCAGCGCTCCAGCCTATAGAGCTAATGCAATTAAAAGAATAAAAAAGTAAAAAACAAAGAATGGAAGGAAAATGCAATGACAATCCTAAATCACAGAATGTCACTGAGGATGTAGGACCTTCCTCTGCTTCTCAAGGAGACGGTTACACACCTGTCACACACTGTAACATGAGCTGTACATGTGGTACTGCTTCTAGAAGGCCTTTTCGGCCACAGAAATTACCTGGGATTAATGGGTTCGTATTCTATGGTAATACTTTAATTTTTTTTAATTTTTTTTTTTTGGTGGGGGAGGTAATTATGTTTGTTTATTTTCAGAGGTACTGGGGATTGTGCTCAGGACCTTGTGTATGCTAAGCATGCACTCTACCACTGAGCTATACCCTCCCCCCCTTATGGTAATATTTTTAAATGTTGGAAGCTAACAAACTCACATCCTTTAGATCTGTGCTGTCTAATACAGTAGCCACTAGTCACTTGTGGCTATTTAAATTTGAATTAATTAAACAGAC